GATCGACGTGCAGCGACTCGCCATCAAGCAGCTGAAGAGTGAAAACTACAGACTGAAGGTCAGTGTGAGCCGCTCCACACACTTACGCACACACTCACACACACACACACACACACACTAGGGGTGTGCGATATATATCGTCTGCAATAATATAGTAATTGTTGTTTTAATGATGTGCGATTTCGACTCAAAAGATAATGGACACTTTTAGAAAAAATGGCTTTATAAAGGTAAAAATGCCCATAAAATGTAAAAATTAGTTTAAACTTATTGGAAAAGATTAATTTCTCAGTGTGAACTGACCAGCACACAGAATATGAAGAATATTAAAAACCTCAGGAGTCAGCTGTCCACGGTAGTCCTTAAGATACAAGCACAATAACACACTCAGCAAAATATTGTCTAATTATAATTATCAATAAAATCCCAGAAAATATCGAGATATTATTTTTTGTCAAGCAAAAACCAAACAAAACACCCCTACAGAGCGCACGCTTACATTACATGAAGTCTAGAGTTCTTTCACTGCATGACTAAGTCTATTAAAATACATTTAGAATGATCACAAATTCAAGACATGGGGCAGAAAATGTATATATTTACACCATTTCATATAGTTAATAATCAGTTTCACACGAAGAGCCCAATTTTCTCCAAATATTACCATGATTACAAATGTGATAATGATTTTTTACAACAGTTCAATAAACAAGAAGTTAATTAAGAGTATTGCCTGTTTTTGCTCTATTTCTCCAATAAAAATAATTCCAAACACAGTCACAGCACAGTTTTGTGTCGCTGAGCAACATGACGGTGTTTCGTTCCTGAATGAATCAACCGTTTTGGCCATATCGTCCAGGCCTACTTCAGATGCAGCTTCTGTGTTGTGTTGATTTAATTTGCTTGGTAACAGCCCAAATGTAATTCACTGATTAAATGTAAGAATTTGACTCAAAAGATAATGGACACTTTTAGAAAAAATGGCTTTATAAAGGTAAAAATGCCCATAAAATGTAAAAATTAGTTTAAACTTATTGGAAAAGATTAATTTCTCAGTGTGAACTGACCAGCACACAGAATATGAAGAATATTAAAAACCTCAGGAGTCAGCTGTCCACGGTAGTCCTTAAGATACAAGCACAATAACACACTCAGCAAAATATTGTCTAATTATAATTATCAATAAAATCCCAGAAAATATCGAGATATTATTTTTTGTCAATATCGCACACCCCTACTGCACACACACACACGCGCACACACAGAGCACAATGAAGACGATGATCTACAGGTCACCTGACATCAGATGGACACCCACTCTGTCTGTGTGTGTGTGTGTGTGTGTGTGTGTGTGTGTGTGTGTGTGTGTGACGGCCGGCGCTCAGAGCTCTGGGCTTGATTTGAAGGCAGCGCAGCTCGGCTGGTTTTAATTCAATCAAACATGCTCCTTTTGGGAGCGCTGCATGGAAACTCCAGCACGTAATGTGACCCATTTAAAGCCCTTCTGCACTTAAAACAGAACCGGCCACATCCAGATTCCCGTCGGTCTGAACCGTGTGCCTACAAAACTACACATCCACACCATCAGAGAGCCTCGGGTTTGAATGCTGATGAGCGCAGTGTCTGCTTGACCTTTGACCTCCAGCACACATTCAATTAGCATTTTAACACTGCATTTGTCTCGGGTTTCTCATTCACACACAGACACACTCTGGCTCGCGTTACAGATGATCTTACTGTAAAATACCACACAATACGCTGGTTAAACTCAGAGGACTCTAAAAAATGAATCACTACGCAAGTATTCTGAAAAATGAATTGCTACACTTGCAAAATGAATTGCTACAATTGTAAAATAAATCACTACAGTTCTAAAATTAATCATTATATTAAAAAAATGAATCACTGCTGTTCCAAAATGAATCACTTCAAAGATTAATCACTATAGATACAAAACAAATGACTGTAGTTCATTTGAAGGCAGCGCAGCTCGGCTGGTTTTAATTCAATCAAACATGCTCCTTTTGGGAGCGCTGCATGGAAACTCCAGCACGTAATGTGACCCATTTAAAGCCCTTCTGCACTTAAAACAGAACCGGCCACATCCAGATTCCCGTCGGTCTGAACCGTGTGCCTACAAAACTACACATCCACACCATCAGAGAGCCTCGGGTTTGAATGCTGATGAGCGCAGTGTCTGCTTGACCTTTGACCTCCAGCACACATTCAATTAGCATTTTAACACTGCATTTGTCTCGGGTTTCTCATTCACACACAGACACACTCTGGCTCGCGTTACAGATGATCTTACTGTAAAATACCACACAATATGCTGGTTAAACTCGGGACTCTAAAAAATGAATCACTACGCAAGTATTCTGAAAAACGAATTGCTACACTTGCAAAATGAATTGCTACAATTGTAAAATAAATCACTACAGTTCTAAAATGAATCATTATATTAAAAAAATGAATCACTGCTGTTCCAAAATGAATCACTTCAAAGATGAATCACTATAGATACAAAACAAATGACTGTAGTTCTAAAATGAATCATAGTTCAGAAATGAATCAATACAGTCCTAAAACGAATCATTATAGATCAGAAACAAATCACTGTAGTTCTCAAATTAATCACTGTAGTTCTAAAATGAATCACTATAGATACAAATGACTGTAGTTTTAAAATGAATCATAGTTCAGAAATGAATCAATACAGTCCTAAAACGAATCATTATAGATCAAAAATGAATCACTGCAGTTCTAAAATGAATCACTAGATACAAAACAAATCACTGTAGTTCTAAAATAAATCATAGTTCAGAAATGAATCAATACAGTCCTAAAATGACTTATTATAGATCAAAAATGAATCACTGCAGTTCAGAAATGAATCACTATAGTTTCAAATTGAATAATTGCAGTTACACTACAAATCATTATAGTTCTAAAATGAAATATTATAGTTCAAACTATATCATTATACTTAAAAAATGAAGCACTGTAGTTCTAAAATGAATCACTTCAAAGATGAATCACTACAGATACAAAACAAATTACTGTAGTTCTAAAATGAATCATAGTTCAGAAATGAATCAATACAGTCCTAAAACTAATCATTATAGACCAGAAACAAATCACTGCAGTTCTAAAATGAATCACTATAAATACAAATGACTGTAGTTTTAAAATGAATCATAGTTCAGAAATGAATCAATACAGTCCTAAAATGAATCATTATAGATCAGAAACAAATCACTGTAGTTCTAAAATGTCTAAAAAGTCAGTCACTGCAAATCACTGTCAATGTGTTTTTTTTATTAGAATTTGTCCAAAATCAGCTGAATCATTATAGATCAGAAACAAATCACTGTAGTTCTAAAATGTCTAAAAAGTCACTGTCACTGCAAATCACTGTCAATGTGTTTTTTTTATTAGAATTTGTCCAAAATCAGCATGATGTTTCTGCTAGTGTACCTATGATGGTTTGAGATGCCGTCTATGTAGGCAGCACACTAGGCTCCGGACACGTTCAGATCACGAATCACAGAAATGGGGCGCAGACAGGTTGTGTGGTCTGAGATCTAAACAGCACACAGTGTTTACCTGACGGCCCACAAACAGCGCAGGACAACTGTGAGTTTCCACTGGTTCTGAACGGAGGAGAGCGTCTCTTCTTGGCAGCGTGTGTTTTCTCTTGGCTTGAGCGGCCTGTAATGAAGAGCCTGGTTTTTTATGGTCGGCAGGACCGTCCACGCTCTTATGCTTAGCTTCCATAAAGTGAACGTTCACTGATGATCCAGCCAACCTCAAACAGACCTTAAAGGGCCAGCGCCGGAAAAAAGAGTCCAGACCACTCAAGCGAACTGAGGGCCCAAGGCATTGTGGGATGCAGCTGGGTCCTACACTGAAAAAATGCTTTTCAGGTTCATAAATACTGTTGGAGTATTACTGGAAAAATAAAGATTAATGGAGTACGAACACACAGTATATCTACTTCAAAACTATTACATTTAACTCAATCTGTTAATTACATTTTATTTTTTTAATTTGCCAGCAGTGTAAACTGTTTCTACACAAAATTATTTTCAGTTTAGTCCTTAAAGCAGGGGTATTATACAAATATACCACTTTATTTGTTTTTAAACAAGAAAAAATGAGTAAAAATCATGCATCAAATTTTATAATGCACAGCAGAGAGATTTAATTACTGTTTAAAGCGATTTAAATCTGACAGAACTGCATTTAAATTGGGGAAAATGCATAAATATCATTACTATCCGTTATCTGGCTAATAATAACAGAAGTAAAACAATACAGATGTGTCCTCATAAACACATTATGGCCATACTGACGCGAATGGCTGCAAATATTCATAAATCTCATCAATATTTTAATGATTTCTGCTAGCCAGCGATGAGAGTAAACTCCTCTACATTTTACCACAGTTTTACCATAGTACTCATAATATACCACGGTACATGTGCAGCAATACGATAACACGTTACCGTGACAGTATCTTGGATTCATTATAAAACTTTTCACACAGTGACGGTATAACTGAATGAACTAAAGCACATAAAGTGATTTGTTGAGATAAATGCAGCGGCAGTTTGAATGAACGGCTCTCCTCACGGACAGACAGAAAGAAAAACACTTTTAACCGAAGAACAAATGAAGACTGATCACCGACATCAGCTGTAAATCTCGTTATATCGCGTTACAGCAAATACAGACGCTTCCAAAGCAGAGAGAGAAGGAGAGAGAGAGAGAGACAGAAAGAAAGAAAGAGCTCGTCGTTTCTCCTGCCACGACTTTCCGTTCTGGAAACACCGACGATAAAAGACCGAAAACCGATTCAAACGAGCAGCTTTCTGACCGAAGAGCTGCTCTAAACACGATTAATCTGATGTATCTCCGTTAATCTGAGGTGAAAGTGAGGTGAAAGTGAGGTAAACGCAGAAATCTGAGGTAAATCTGCGAGAACAAAAGCTACTCACCCTCGCGCGCTCCTCAACCGGATTCTCCCGCGAAAGAAAGTCGGCGATTTCTCCAAACATCAGAGAGCGACGCACACTCTCTCTCTCACACACACACACTTTCTCTCTCTCTCTCTCACACACACACTCTCTCTCTCTCTCTCTCTCGCGCCACCGTCACCAAGGCAACACACCAGCGCTTCCACTCGGGTTCACAGCTGTGTTAAATCTAGCAACAAAATTGCTCAATTGTGACCCTGCAGCACAAAACCAGACAATATTTGAAAATCTGGAATCTGAGGGTGCAAAAAAATCGAAATATTGCGAAAATCATCTTTAAAGTTGTCCAAATTAAGTCCTTAGCAATGCATATGATCAAAAATTAAGGTAGAACATGTACTAAATATCTTCATAGAACATGATCTTTACTTAAAGCTGCAATCCGTAACTTTTTATCGCCTTACAAGACAACCAGTTCGAAGGGAGCATAATTAGCTTTTTGGGTTAAAAGAATTTCTTAATTAACAGTTTGAGAATAAAGTATAACAATAATAATAATTTGCTACGTCCACACGAATCCACGGATTCCCTATCCGATCTTTTTTTTTATGCATCATCTGAAAGCTGAATAAATCCTCTTTCCATTGATGTATGGTTTGTTAGGATAGCACAATATTTGAAAATCTGGAATCTGAGGGTGCAAAAAAATCGAAATATTGCGAAAATCATCTTTAAAGTTGTCCAAATGAAGTCCTTAGCAATGCATATGATCAAAAATTAAGGTAGAACATGTACTAAATATCTTCATAGAACATGATCTTTACTTAAAGCTGCAATCCGTAACTTTTTATCGCCTTACAAGACAACCAGTTCGAAGGGAGCATAATTAGCTTTTTGGGTTAAAAGAATTTCTTAATTAACAGTTTGAGAATAAAGTATAACAATAATAATAATTTGCTACGTCCACACGAATCCACAGATTCCCTATCCGATCTTTTTTTTCTCCTCGTCTCAAGAAATATCTGCGTCCACACGAAACCACGAAACGATGTAGTAAACCTGCCAGACCAGCATGTGGCGCTGTAATTCTGCCTCAGAGATACACTAAAAACTGAGAAGAAGACTTGGACTGTGCGCATAAACCTTGTGCGCGGTATACTAACGAACATGGAACGATACATTTATTAATCGGTGTTAATGTTTGTTAATAAACAGACAATCGTTCAGTCTTTGTTCATGTTTTTGTTGCTGTTACGTGACGTAGCGGAGACGTGAGACATTTGGGCGGCGTTATGCAAATCTTCCCACATAGTGATGTAGACATGTGGGGGCGTGTTAGAACGAGCCGTTTTAGGTAGGTGTGGCTGAGTCTTAACTTTTAAAAAGAATATCTCTTTGGATTTGAGACTTTAGTCTTTGCAACTTTACAGATCTTCTTTATGCACCAAGAGCTTGTAACACTCCAAAGAGAAAGGCTTTTTGGGTTAAAAGAATTTCTTAATTAACAGTTTGAGAATAAAGTATAACAATAATAATAATTTGCTACGTCCACACGAATCCACAGATTCCCTATCCGATCTTTTTTTTCTCCTCGTCTCAAGAAATATCTGCGTCCACACGAAACCACGAAACGATGTAGTAAACCTGCCAGACCAGCATGTGGCACTGTAATTCTGCTTCAGAGATACACTAAAAACTGAGAAGAAGACTTGGACTGTGCGCATAAACCTTGTGCGCGGTATACTAACGAACATGGAACAATACATTTATTAATCGGTGTTAATGTTTGTTAATAAAAAGACAATCGTTCAGTGTTTGTTCATGTTTTTGTTGCTGTTACGTGACGTAGCGGAGACGTGAGACATTTGGGCGGCGTTATGCAAATCTTCCCACATAGTGATGTAGACATGTGGGGGCGTGTTAGAACGAGCCGTTTTAGGTAGGCGTGGCTGACTCTTAACTTTTATAAAGAATATCTCTTTGGATTTGAGACTTTAGTCTTTGCAACTTTACAGATCTTCTTTATGCACCAAGAGCTTGTAACACTCCAAAGAGAAAGGAAGAATTGAAATCGCATCATATGACCCCTTTAATATCCTAATGACTTTTTGGCATAAAAGAGAAATTGATAATTTTGACCCATACAATGTATTGTTGGCTATTGCTACAAATATACCCCAGCGACTTAACACTGCTTTTGTGCTGCAGGGTCACAATTTAGCAATTTTGTTGCTAGATTTGGCAACTTTTCTACCCTAGCAACCTTTTCTTCCAAAAGCACCTATAGCAACAAATGTAGCTATTTTTAAATTTTATTTGGCAACTTTTAGCAACTGTGACTCGAATTATAAAAAGGCACACATTTTCCCTCTAAATTACACAAAAAGAGGAAACCAAAGGTGTCTAGCAATACACATATCACGCAAATTAAGTTGCTAGTGGCAATTGTTCAATAATAATGGTTCGTTTATGATAACACGCCTTGTTATCAGTTTGTACCTGCACTTGTTGATCAGTTTAAAAATATGCAAAAATATGCAGAAAAATGGAAAAGGTACTGGTAATTTTCTGCCAGGACATCATCTGTTAAGTTGTAACCTGAAAACACAACATATTTTAAATTCATGTAAAAAACCGATACAGAATATTCCTTTAAATGAACACAGTGTTGTGCCCTATATTGTAGACTTCTCTTCAAGTGCAGCTTACTAACTACCGATGCGCTGCTTAAAACATAACTGATCAGAATGTGTAGTTTTACTAGTTAATAAGAAAATACATCAAATGTAATTGTTCAAAATTGTGTAAATGTTCAATAATTCAATGCTGTATTTAAAAATAAACATGATATTATTTATATTTTAATATTAATATATTTATTTTTCAGTGCTGACGATTCTACATTACCATTTCAAATCATATTCATAATCATTCAGTTTGCAGTTTGCCATTTTTAAATATATTCATATTCATAACAAACTCTGAAACACAACCCTATGTTTTGTTTGGACCTCACATAAAAAAGGTTTAAACCCTTAGATTGGGGACATACATTACAAAATAAATAAAAGTTCTCTGCTGGACTGCACCTTCACTTTCATCTTACTTTTCAGTCTCTTTATTTTGCCCTGATATCTCTCTCTCACATGACTCAAGATTTAACAAAACTATACTTTCTGAATTGCCTACATGTCACAATTAGTACAATCATAACTACATCATTACTATATCTTTATAGAAAAATCCTAATACTGAACATGAGTCGTATTTTTCCCTTACAAAAATTAACCATGATTTTATTATAGTAAAAGTACAGTAACTGTTTTTTTGGCAACAAAGAATTTTGGTCTTTAATAATATTCTCAAAATGTTAACACAATAACGTTATTTATGCATCATTCGTGTAACATTTTATTTCTGAAACATTTTAGCTGGAAATGTAAATGTTACTTCTTGTTTCAGAACATTTAGAGAACATTCAAATGTAACATTTCTATAATGTTTGCAAAATTATTAAACGAAATGTTCCCTTAATGTTTGTACAATCAAGAAAAAAAGATTTTAAAGAATATTTTCTTGGTTATCTTTAACACTGAAACTGAGAGCATTCAGGAAATAACATTTTCATAACTTAATGGGAACATTAGCAAAACGTTAGAACATATTTTTGCTAAATGTGAATCTTGGAATAACTCATTAATAATTATTTTCTCAGAATCATGAGAAATAAAGTGAGAATTGAGAGATATAAACTCAAAATTGTCGTAAAAAGTCGCAATTACAGTTTTAATTTTTATATCCTGTGGTGGAAACATGCTTCCATATCCGTATCTCTCTCAAGGACATGAAAGAGTTTTATTTATAATGGTAGCAGAATGTTCTTAGAGCATGTTTTAGAGTTAGAGTTAATATCTCACAATTCTTTTCTCAGAATTAAAAGTCAGAAGTGCAAAAAAATGCAGAACTGAATTGGGAGATAAAATGTCAAAATGACCTTTTTTTCTTTTTTATCCCGTTTTGGAAACACGCTTCCATATCAGCTTCTCTCTCGAGGACATGAAGAGCTTGTTTTCTCCAGCAGCTTTCTGTGATCTCTCAGACGGCACACATTCTTCAGCACTGATCCCAGATCATCCTGTCAAATAAGAGCCGTTTGCTGCTCACGGTCTCATCCTCACATTCCTGAGACGTCTGGAGGACACGCGTGTAAGATCACCAAGGCCTTCACTCCATTTGTTCTCAGTTTAATCTGGTCCAATGAGACGGTTAGACGCAGACGTTCATCTAGGAACACCAGAAGATACTCTGAAGAACGCTGGAGGGACATGTTGGTGGAAAAAAATACTAGAAAACAATAGAGTTTTCTTGCAAAAGTACTGTGTTCCGTTAGGAATCTTTGGGTTCTCTTGCCAAAATATTGCGTTCCCCCAAGAAACTGCATTTGTGCGCGATACATTTGCATTTGCTTGCAAAAAGTATTACCTTTGCGAGTGAATGCAAATGTATCACACACAAATGCAAAGTTAATTTTGGAGGAAGGCAATACTTTTGTTAGTGAACAACGTTGCTTTTCCCTGAGAAACCTTGCATTCTTTCAAAAAGCATTTGCGTTGTCTTCCTAAAGTACTGCAGTCCCCTGAGAAACATTTGCTTTTTTGCAAAAGTGTTGCGTTCTATTGCATTCCCCCGAAATTAATTTTGCATTCACTTGCAAACTGAAACATAGACTTTCTTCCCACCTCATATCATTCGTTTATCACAAAAGTTTGGCATTGGTTCTCAAGGGAACGCAACACTTTTGCGAGTGAACCAAAAAGCATTGAAATACAAATTTTCCTCCCAAACAGCACTGGACCCCCAGCACTCATTGTTTGGAAACAAAAACCACCAAGACATTTCTGAAACATTCCCTTAATGTTTGTACAACCAAGAAAAAAATTGATTCAAAGAATATTTTCTTGGTTACTTAGACATTTCTCTAATTATCTCCTTTTGTGTTCCACAGAAGAAAGATAATGCATGAGATGAAGAGACATCAGGACGATCTGCTACAGTAAGATGAGGCAGATTTACAGTGATTTTACCACAG